TAGAGAAATTAATTGGATGGACTAACTAAAAAAATTACAATTATCTTGAATATTTACTTTTTAAATAATTCTTCAGTTCATGAACTACTTGTGCATCCTTCACAAAAGAAACAGCATAGAAGTCAACTTTGTTATCCACTCCAAATTTGATATCATCCCAATCCTTATCTGCAGCAAATCAACACGAATATTATGTCCTTGGGAAATCAACATAATCCTAATCCTCTCAGTGCCCAAATATTTAAAAAATAAATATATATCAACAATGGGAATAATAATCCAAAATCTAACCAGTGATGGAAGGCAGTGTTGCACTTTTCCCTCTAACATTCAAATGTCTCCTTGACTTGAGCTCTCCTCCATCAACAACTTCACATTTCACAGAATCCTCTGTCTTAGACTTCACCATCAAAGACATCATACCACCTACATCATACACAATAGGGGACACCAGAGACTCGGTAACTCTTTCTGTGATAAATAGGCAAATACAGATATTGTCCAACAACAATTGAACATATAATGAGCATGTTTGATAAGTCACTTGAGTAGTTTATAAGCTACTTTGACTGGCTGATAAGGTAGTTTGACTAAAATAAGCTTGTAAGCTAGTTTGACTAAAATAAGCTTGTTTGGTACACAAGCTTATTTAAGTAACTTCAACTTTATTTTCATAAGCTACTTCAACTAGCTTATAAACTAATAACCTTTTTTCTGATTTTCATTTTTATCCATGCTAATTTATTTGAAACGCCTTATTGCTTCAAATAACTGATATGTCCTTTTGTGTCATTATATTTATTAGCTAGCGCACTAGTTAATTTTACCAAATACTTTCAATTCAATCAACCAGCGTATAAATTAACTAAATATGTCCTTTTGTGGTTTAGCAAACACACCCAATAAACGCATCATGTGAAACATCATCTCTTGTATATCATATTCTTCTTTACCAAGAGGTAAATATGTTTTCCAATATCAATATCAGATAGCAGCGTCTAGCAGCTAACTTTAAAAACTCTATAGCTAATTTAAATATTATAATACAAACCAAATAATTTATACTACACATATTTTTTACTCAAAGCGCCCAAAAAACTAAAATTGCAGAAATTCATAATAAATAAGGTAAAGTTTACCAACTCAATCACCACTAATCTAGGAGCAAAATGAAGTTAAAAAAGATGATGGTGAAATTAATAGAAAAAGTAACGTAACAAGTCAGATAAAAAAAAACTAGAAGAATGGGAATCGGGAAGTCTAAAGGAAGAGGAAAGAACAGAACACTAAATATAAAATAGTCCTAAAGATCAAATAGAGGTAATTTTTTGCAGAATATTTTACCTAAACAACCTCCAGACAATGATGTTTAGGGGTAAAAATGGGTTTTGGAAGCCTATACCGTGGTAGTGAGCTATAGCGCACAAAAAGCCACTGTTTTGGCCACTGATGAAAACCACTCCACTTTGAACCCCACAGCAGCCCAAGGCCATGCTGCTCTTCTATCCCACTATTATTGACTAGACTAAACTAATGTTGTGTTGACTGAAAGTTTTATGAGTAAATTATAATTGATGATTTATACATCATATAGAAACTTGCGAATCTGCAAAAGGATGAAAGATAGGAGTAGCATGAAACAAATAATATCTAGAAACTTACGATGCAAATATTCTTGTACATATAATGCTTTATCTACAGCCAAAACCATATTTATAAAAACAAACAACTAGTCATGATTCGGGGAAATGCAAACAGATCAATGTGCATAGACGAGTTATAACATATTTGCAGCAGAAGACCATGAATGCCACACAACCTTGAAAGACTCATCCCTCAGATCACAAATATCTTAGAGACTATAAGACTTGCCCTTGTTACAGTACACAAAATTCAACAAAGGTTAAAGAAAAGACATGAAGAATAAATTAGTCTCATGCTAGATGATTTTCATTCCTAGATCATAACACATTGTTTATAGTTCAAACAATTTTACCAAACAGTTGATTGACATACCATCAACAAGAATCATGTCCCCCACTTCCACATCATTGACAAAATCGTCATAGTTCACGCTAACACAATCTGCAGTTCCAACACCTCTATGGATGGTAAAAGTGAATTCCTGCCCAGGTGTTAATAAAATTGGTTGGTGCAAATCCCCACTCCTAACTTCAGGACCCTGAAATCAGAGAAAAAAAAATTATCAGCTGACACAAAATCTAAATTGTAATCAGAGAATTATGGTATCAACAAAGTATCCTAAAAATTTAAAATATTGAAGGAAGAACTTAATTATTACCTTAGTATCAAGCATAATTGCAATTGCATTGTCCTTGGATTGAGCATTATACTCTTTAACCAAATCAATAACTTTCTGATGAGAAGCATGGTCTCCATGAGACATATTCATTCGGGCGACATTCATTCCAGCCTCGGCCAGCTTCCAGATCATTTCCCTGGTGTTGGTAGAAGGACCAATGGTGCAAACAATCTTTGTCTTCCTCCTAAACGTAGGTTTGGACCACATTTCAACTGCAGTGTCACCAAGTTGCTGAATCCCACGCAAATGCCGCAACTCTTCCTCAATCTATTCACCGCAACATGAAAAGGGTTACAACTCACAGCGGTTTCCTCAACCACCGCCACTTGCTTCATGAAAAATACTTATCATACACTCACGTTCTCTTCCATCTCATTTCCACCAAATTTTCTTCTTATCCAATTCTTCCCTTTCTATCACATCACTTACCACATTTTTTTCTTCTCTAACTTAATAAAAGATAAACACTCACCATGAACTCACTCTCTCTCATCTCATTTCAACCCAATTTTCTTTTTATGCCTCACTTCGTTTTCTGTCACATCACTCATACACATCTATCATTTTTTCATAGAATTTAGGTTCGAAACTCAATAGCAAAAACTTGCTTGTAGAGTGAAAGTTGCCTCTATTTATATATACTTTTGGTTATATAACTACTCAGTAAATGGGATCTTTCTACATTTTCTTCTTTCTTCATAACACTCTTCTTTCCACCCCAATCCACCACATTTTGGGGTGGAAGTTTCTCAATACTCTACTTCCATTTCGGGTCTTTCCATCCAAAATAACAAATTTTCCCACTCCCCATCATATATTCCTAGCAACAGAGGAAAAATTGCAGTGCGAGAGAGAAAAGGCACGAACCTTTGAATCATCCTCGGGTGACACGGGGACAACTTCAGCGGGTGCAGATTTCCTCGCATTGAGGCGGCAACTTCGGTAGCGAACTTTGGAGGGGTTGTTCTTTTGTAGTGGGAACACTTTAGAAGCAAAAGTTGGAGCCTTCAATGATGTTGGCAGCCTGTGGTGTGCAGATCCTGAGGTGAGGGAGGTGTGAATGGATCGAGTGGCAACAACCTGAGACATTGTCGCAGAGAGGGAGAGTAATGGGGTGTGAAGAAGTTGTGGAGGATAAAAGGTTTGGAGAAATCGCCGTGGCGTTGGGCAAAGGTCAGGCCACGAGACAAATATAAAGTGGAGGGCCCGAGGACATGGCACGAGACATGACACATCTTCGTTTGTATCGAATTTACCACTGTCATGCTATGTTTTGCTCCCATAAACTAAACGAAAACTATGAAAGTGAATGTTGGTGTCGTTTTTTATTTTATATTTCTCAAATTAACATAAGTGAAATTATGATATCTAAACCGAATTAACACTCACTCATAACCCAGCAATAATGTCTTTTATGTCAAAAAATTATTACAACAGAAGTAAAAACTTATAGAATGAAACCAAAACTCATCAAAATAACCAACAAAAAGTTAATTCTCGTAAAAGATATTCGAAATTTTAAAGTTCATAGTTTCACATTTTATCAGACAAGATGGGATCATCATCTACTTCTTAGCCACCAGTTACATCATACTCCACCCACAATTTTTTGTTCAACCTCTAAAAAAAAGCTGTTCAATAGTAACAGTAACTACCATGGTTTCTGCACAAAGTGAAATTTGAAGACCCAAAAAAGCCATAAAACCTTTTAAGAATTCACCATTATTTTCTCTTGATAGGCCATCACTTGGCAAAAGTTGAGCACTCAGTAGCCGCACCGTCGGTATCGCATTTATCATACCCCACCAGGAGATGATACCATGTAATTTGAAGCACTCTCCCTATTTTAACATTTTCTTAAAGGTTTGCGAGTGTTTTTAGTGTATCTAAATTCTGTTCTTAATTATATGTGTCGTTTATTAATTACAAAAAATCATTTTTCTTTCTTGAAAGCATTTTGAGTATAAAATATACTTAGAGGACAAGAGTTCCTTGAGAGTATTTTGGTAGTATCCTGTCTGAGAATAACAGTTCCTCGTTTTGGATGTAACATATAGCGTATTCGGATATGGGTGTTTGAACAAAATATAATTAGGGTATCTCTCGATTTGATGTTTGAAAAGTTAGCTGATTTGTATTTTAGAAAACTGCGAGTGACCTTTATGTGTATAGTAGTAATTTTCACACTGCTATAAAAAAAACTAATTTCAAAATGACAAACCTTATTATAAGATGTTTCTAAATAAATAATCTAAAACATTTTTAAATTTAATTCTTAATCACACATTCTGGAATACATATTGTCACCCTCACTCCATTATGTATTTTTTCCTTAATGTCTTCGAAATATATAATTTAAAAACTTTTTAATACATTATGGATAATATTATCCAAAGTGCAGGTATGGTGGTAGAGAAAGCAATTACGGAAGTGTCAAATGCAAAAGCCACAGCCCAAGTACGCTCCAAAATAAACGACATCATTTTCTACTGTTCGCATACCACTGTGATAGTCCGTTATTAAATCCCGCGGTACCTAAGAAAAAACATAAACGACACCCATTCGCCCTAACCACAAAAGCGCGGGAAAATTTTCCGCCTTCCTTCAACTCACCACTGCTTAACTCAACTCACCTCTTAGATCCCAAAACCTCACACTCTTCAATTTCATCATCACCATGGACACCGAAGGCTTATCAGTAATCTGCGCTGGCCTCGGAGTCGTCGAAGAGGACAACGAAGGCAACCGAATCGGCTTTACCAAAGGCGAATACTGTCTCGGTACGACTCTCTTGCATTTCCTTTTTCCCCTTTTGATTTTCTTTTTTTCATCAAAATTCGTTTCGTTGAAAATCTCCGATTCTCATTGCTCACACTCATTACCGATTACCAGATAACCTGAAAGACTTGCTGCGGTTTCTGAGGCGCGACGATCCTCAAACGCGCGATGTCTTCAAGCAAGTTTGCAAATGGAACATCGTTTTCAAGTACTTGATACCCATCATCGAGCTCTATCACGAAGATCGCAACTTGCTTCTGAATTCAGGTTTTCCTTTTATCGTTTTTTTTTTTAATTTATCTATTAATGCGTGTTTGGGCTCTGATTCATTTCGATTTTTTATGTTTTTCTCAGTGAAGGTGCTGGTGTTTCTTACTATGCCGATCGAGCCTTCTTCCACAGATATATCTCAACAGTTGGAGTATCTGTGGGGTGTGAAGTCTGCTGTGACGAACAGTGATGTCGCTGCAGTGATAGTGTCGTTTTTAGAGAGGCCGCTTGAGAATTTGGAACGGTGAGTGGCTGCAAAATGCAATGTGTTTATCAGTGTCTAGTGCAAATGGAAAAAAATGCTTACTCGTGTGTTTTTAATTGTTTGCACAGAGATGCATTTACCGAGGATGATTGGAAGCTGGTCCAGCTTGTGCTTACATTATTTAGAAATGTTCTAGCTGTTCAAGAAATTCCGTTGCACCAGAAGTCCGGTGGACTTGCCAGTCAGTTTCTATCTCTAAGGGACCGGTTTCTGGAGCTTTTGTTTCGCGAGAATGTAATGGATATAATCCTGGTTATTTCTCAATATGTTGGTGGTTCTAATGTTTATCTCCGTCACGATAACTTGCTTCTACTGGAAATTTTCCATTACATTTTGATGGGTCAGGACCCGGAGTTAATTATTAGGACACTGTCGAAGGGGTCAAAGGTTAGCTTTCATTGTGAATAATGTCTTCTTTTGCCAAGCTGGCTAGGAGCATCCTACTTATTTAGTTAGATTATTCTTTTCTAAATGTGCTTTGCAAACATTGCTTGCAAGGTTTTTGGGGATGTATGATGATTTACTCTTTCTAACTGCTTCCATCTAGTGCTTTTATACTTTTGTTAGGTCAATTACATTTTGTAAAATCTTTTGTAGGCGGATGAAGATCCCCAGGCTTCTCTTAATAGTCTCCAGTTCATTATGGAGAAGGAAAAGAAGAGAAGAAGCGTTTGTAAGCTCAACAATCTGAATCGACATTCTCAATTTAGTGGAACATTTTCTCGGCTTACAATGGTACTCTTTTACTGCCCTGCTTATTATGCTGTTATAATGGGGGGCCTGAGTTATAACTGCTGTCTCTGCTTGGTAGGATGGTTCTAAGGCAGTAGTTAAGGGGAATCCTAATTCTTCTCATAATGTGCTGTTTAAAGCACAAAATGTCACTCGGGGTCCTACCAAAAGAATTGCGTGGGATCATCCAAGGTTGCCTTCAACAAAGGATAAGATTTTGGAGTTGCTTCATGGGTTTGTGAATCAGTTTCTTTCTGGGGGATACAATGGTATACCTTTGGTTTTCAAATAAATTGTATTATTTGCAAATACATTTATTTCTTTTGGTTTCCACTTGTAAATAAAAAAGTAACCTCACAGCAATTTGAACCTGTATCAGTTTTGATGCGATCCATACGAGAAGATATCGAAAATGAGCATCCGTCAATTCAAAGAAGTGATGTTGTTGTTTTCTTTCACGTGGTTGAATTTGTCACTTCATTTCAGTTTCATAAGTATTCAGCTTCTAAGGTGAGAATTTCATATCTCTTGGCATACTTTTGTCTTGTCCTCTTTCAAGCTGAAATACTTATACATTGTCCCCTTTGTTAGAGGTATTAAATGCACATTTTTAAGCACTCATGGTCTGGAACAAGATGAATTTCTGATTCTTCTAAATGTAGGAATTTTATAGATTCTTTATGCATATTTAGTTATTTTTTAGTTACTTAGAATTTAGCATTAAGCATAATGGATTTCTAATTTGTTTATTGAAGTAGTTGTATTTTCAGTTGCTCAAAGCATGTCGTAGCAAACTTTTCACATAATGATTGTTTCTAGACCTTACAGATTCTGGCACATTTATTATTGAATAATAGTAAGCGAGACTAATTACTATTTCTGTACAACACAATAAAGGAAATTAGAAGAGGATAAACACACTTGAGTTGATTTCTTTGCTTTCTTGGATTTTCTGGGTTTATTTTTCTCCGACCTTCAATTCATGAAGGTGAATATAATAATAAGTCATTATTCATGTGCTAAATGAAAAGTTCACAAATGAAACTTTAGACTGGACAAATGGAAATCATCAAAAGTATCAAATGAAAATAGATATATAAAACAGCATCTGTTATTCTCATAATCTTGTGTGTGAGGTATTACTTGTTGCTTTATTTTTAAATAGCATCCCTGTGATTTGTCAATCTACAATTAGAAAAGTTGTCATTCTCATATATGTTCTCTTCTTAATTAGAACAAGGAGGGAGGGGATACATTTGAGAAATTTGATGATAAAGATGCAGTTACCTCAGATTTCAGTGGTCAAATATGCGGTCCAATTGCCGCATCCTTGAATGAGTCAATGTTTCTATTGGTCATTTCGAAGTGGCGGCATGCGTATGATGGTCTAAAGGAAACAAATGACCACCAGTTTCTATCTGCAGCTGGTTCTCTTTTGAAAAACATGGTAATATCAACTTCCAAATCTTAATATTTTTCTTTTCCTACATCATGGGATGGAAATAGTCAAGTTCTGCTCTCTTTTATATCTGTGCTCTCATTTTTAGCCTATGTGCTTAGGACTGTAAATGTATCTTACAGTTAGATCACTTCTACAAAGAGTTCTGCTTTGTCAATCCCTATCTTATTCCATTTTTGTTTGCATTCCATGACTCCCACATTTATTTATTATTCTTTTGGATAATTTTACAAATTAGTCCATTTCCCTACTACATGACATTCAATACAGGAATGAAGTCAAGAACTCCATCCTTGTGCATAACCTCGTTATATGTTTCCTAATTTCCCTTTTTTTATTTTTCAGATTCGAATGCTGGATTTGATACTTAAATTGTTGCCAGAAGACTCAAAGGAGCCACAGACAGCTCGCATCCTTCTGTACAAGTTATCTTATGATCAGACTGAGGAAGGGATGACACAGTTCATATTAAATTTGATGAAAAACTTTGATACCCACAAGCAACCCAAAAGGTTTGACCTTGTTATTCTATAAAAAAATCCACGTTCCTTAATCATGAACATATTTCGACTGCTTTTTTTATGTCTTAAACTTATATCTTAGCATCCTTCTGGTCCTAAAAGGCTATTCAAAGGACATCTATTGATTAATTACTAGTTGTCTTTTTAGTTCATACGTCATACAGAGGTTAAACCATAACACTACTGGTGTATGTGTTGATTGTTAGAAAGCTTAGTACGCTAAGCTGCATTGTGATAGACAGTGGAAAAGCGTTTCTTTCCAATTAAATAATTTTAGTCAAGTTAATTCCTTTGCATTTTTCAATTAAAAAAAGTATAGTGTGCAAAATTCTCTGTTATGGTAGTTATCCAATTGTCATCATGTGAGTCCAATGATAATAGTGGTTTAATACATGTTTTTGTTGTGTGCTTGTGTATAATCCGTGGTTCTTACTTGCTGCTACATTTATGATTGTTGTTTCCTGTCAGTGATCTTGCAGATTTGGTAGAAATCATTCATAAGGTTGTAAAGCTGATGGATAATCTTCAGTCTCGAGGAACATTAAGGGTAAGCTGTAACTGTGTTTTGTCAAGTGTTGAAAAAAATCACCAAGATCAGAAGAAACAAGGAAAGATGTTTGTAACCACTTTACCGCAAATAGTTATCTATTCAACTTCATATGCAATATACCCACTTGTTTATAATTTCACATTTAAAAGTAATATGACAAAGCCATTAACGAGCCTTCACTAATAGTTCAAATTTTTATTAGAGTTAGTCTGAGTTTAATAATGTAATATGTAGGTATGTAATAAAATCCACTGCGGAGCATACTGTCTAAAGGTTTTACTTCATTTTGTTTCTCTTATTTACTTGGTATCTTATAATTCAAGGTGTCCAGAAAATCAAGGAAAGTGAAAAGAAAAAAAATTCCAGAAGGAACAGAATCAAAGGGAAAACTAACTGGAGATATTTCTTGCATTCAAAATGAAACTGGCATCTCACCAGTCAATCAATCAGCAGAAAATAAGCTACTGCAGGAATGCCTACCAAATCCAAATCCAAACCCCCCTGGGGAAGATGTTGTCCATGATGATAATGAACATGAAAATCATGTTGAGGAAGATGGGAACTCACATGTTGGGTTGGAACCAATGGAAGCAACAAATCCTAAACATGTTAATGAGGATATGTTGGATGGTACTGATGATTTTTCTGAAGATGAGCAACTAAATGCAATTAATGAAGTTGATTTCAAGGTTTCAACGCTGGTCTCTGCCTTTGCAAATCACAATATCATTCAGAAGTTGTGTTGGTTGCTCAAGTTTTATAAGAGCAATTCCCTTGCTACAAATCATTACATAATAAGCATGCTGCGGAGAATAAGTGATGATCTTCAACTCCAACCTATGCTTTACCAGGTTAAGTGCAGAAAGCATTTCATCTTAAAATGAGAATGCGTAGTTTTTTACTGTGATTACTGAATACTATATATTGATCTTGTTGACATGCTCTTGCAGTTGTCACTGCTCACAACTTTCTATGATATCCTGGTTGAACAAAAGTCATGTCCCTGCAAGGAATATGCAGATATAGTTGATTTCCTGAATTGTTTGGTCAGAAAGATGCTAAAGAAAATGAAAAAGCAACCTCTCTTGTTTGTGGAAGTCCTTTTCTGGAAGACTCGAAGGGAATGTCATTACATTAATGCTGAATATTTGTTGAGCGAACTTGGTCATTTGAAGAAGGAAAGTACCAATTGGAATAACAATCCACGAGATGAAGACATTGGTTCATCCCCAGCAAAGGTTTGGACACGCAGAAGCCTAGCCGATGCACTTGGTGAGGATGAGGCTGATGTTTTGATTACTCATGACTCAGGATATCAAAAGTAAGATACATTTGTCAAACTTTGCTTGTAAGCTTCTTATGTTAGATATTGTACTTTCTATATTTTTTGGGAATTTTTTTTGGCAACCCTAAGACAACCATGTTTAGAATGTGGGACCAATTTTCAATTTAGGCTTGCTGCTTGATTGGTTAATAATTATTCTTGATCAAGACAAAGGTAGATATATTGCAAATAATTATCAGCACTGTTGAAAGAGAGGAAAAATAGATGGAAGAGATACTAAAACTGTGTAATTGTACTACAAAACAAATGGAGTCCATTTTATTGTAGAAAATTTTATTCCTATATAAACGATATGATATGCTTATAAATCAAATTAATCAGATATCCATATAATTATAAAATTCTTAATTAAATAAACAAATAAATCATAAAATATAAAGGAAGAGTTCCTAAGAGATAATCTAGAATACTATAAAATATTCTATGATGATATCATCAAATATTTCTCGTATTTTCTAACTGACTACACTTGTTTTTTTGCTTCTTTCTTCCAGAGACAACCTTCATGATGTTATTGAAGGCTTTGCATCTACATCTGGTGCTTACAACGGAAAAGATGATCATAAGTACGTTTGCAACTTGACATCAATTTTTCCCTGTGATTTTGTAGTTTCTAATACTTGGTTCACTTGGATATAATAGGGAGGAGCAATTGATGGAAGATGAATCTCAACTAGTTCCAAGGAGAAGGAAAAAACTTATTCTTGATGGTGGTTTGGAAGGACAGATTAAGGATCTCTATGAAAAGTAGGTTTAATCAGATCAAACCTTTTTTCTGAGCTTTGGAGCATGGTTTTAAATGAGAGCCTTGCTAAAAAGAATTTCTCTCTTTTTTTCTTTATTTTTTTACATCATCAGTGCAAACATACTTGATGGAATAAGCATGATAGATTAATTCGTAGCTTTTCAAATTTTTTCTCTTGCATATAGATTTTAGCCTTTCTTTTCACCAAGGCTCTTGTTTTGAATATTCTAGATTCAAAGATGACAGACATTGCAGTCGTCGTATAGCTGAAGTGCTAGATCCAGATGGTAAAATTTCACCAGCTCAAATTTCAAATACTTTAAAAAGATTAGGACTAACAGCTGCACCTAGGAGGAAGATGGGTGATAATGATGCTGAAGGACTTTTGTCTACTAGCCCCAATCAGTTAGATGGTGGCACAATAACAGAGGATACCAATCATAAATCAGTGAATTTGGAGGGAAACAAGTTAGTTCAACACCTGTACGTTTATATTGAACTCTGATGCTCATTAAGTATTTCTGGTATTTTTTTCCTATTGAACCTTTATTGTCATTATTGTTCATCCTAATTCAGCAATTTTTTTATGTACATTCTGATGCATTGAATATTGTTGAAAGTCCCACATCGCCTACCTCATGTCATTTGGTATGGTTTAAATACATGTTAGGCTACTCCACGTACTGCCAATTGGTTTTATGTTGGAACCTTAACAAATATGTTGAGGTCTTCTTTGAATATGTGTTCAATTTCATATTTTCAGGCAAAAAAAGAAGATGTTGGAACCTTAACAAATATGTTGAGGTCTTCTTTGAATATGTGTTCAATTTCATATTTTCAGGCAAAAAAAGAAGAGAGTCCGGGCTTTCAATGATGATCAGGAAGCACTGATCAAAGTTCTATATGAGCAGTGAGTACCACTTGGTTCCCTTACATTTGATCCCTTTCTGCTGTTTAATTGATAATGGCTGAGCGAGATAGTTAAATAAGAAAATTCTATGTTCATTGAATTCTCAATATTATGCTGTTGAGGATGGCAACAGAAGAAGAATTTAGTAGCATTTGAATTTGTTGTTAATAGCTGGTTGTTATTTCTGCAGATTCAAGGACCATAGAAGATGTAGCTACATGATAGCCAATGCACTGGATGAGGATGGTAAATTCACTGCTGCCCAAGTCTCTCGAAAACTTAAGCAGCTTGGTTTATTACTTCCTCAGAAGAAGAGTTCTGGAGGCAAAATGCATGCAAAGGGTGCAGATCTCATGGATAGTTCAAATGATCGGATGGGTGAATCTGATGATGAGACGTTGATATCATTGTTAAAAAGGTAATTTTGTGTTGCTCGTTTGTTCTGTAGTTTTACTGAGCTGAGGCTTTAATACTTTTTTCCTGTTTGAAACATAGAATTCACTCATTGGGATGTGTAACTTTTTCCAAAAAGCCAAGGACCATTTTAATGGATACATTGTTTCAATTTTATACATAAATATATGCTTCGGATTGATTTCAATACTCTTTCAAATGCAATTTTTTTGCGCTACCCAGATGGATGAGTCTCTTTTCCTTGGTTTAACTATTGATCAATGTTTATATAATTTTAGGAAGAAAGTGGAAAATGACAATATATCAATGGGACAGTCACATGGGCAAACCAATGAGGATAGATTGCCAACAGATGATTCAGATGATGAAATGCTCTGTGTTATCAAGTAATGTTCCTTTGTCTTTCCATTTTATAAAATCACTAATTTACTGATCAATATGATGTCAGGAATTTAGTTTGACCTGGTGATTCTTCCGGCTCCTGCACTTATCTGCTTTGACTTGAAAAAGATGATAAATTTGTCTCTTCGTATATCAACAGTTTTGTTTTATTTGACATTAACTATCTTTTATAATATAGGAAAAAATTAAATAGCCAAGTATCAACTGAGAAATTACTCGAACCCATCAGTGAGTATACATCGTCAAGAGAGGATTCCGATGATGCAATGATTAGCTCTGCTCTGACGTAAATATTCCATACTTCAACTTCTATTTTCTTGGAGTTACTGATCAAGGCTAGTTTGAACAGTGTGCTTTTTTATGTGAACAGCATATTTTAGTTTGAGCAGTGTATTTTTTATGTGAACCCGCACCCTGTTAATTGATAGGGACATAAATTTGTATATGTGGAATTTAGTTTGAACAGTGTTTTTTTTATGTGAAATATTGTTACAATGTTGTTAAGTTTGTATGTAAGGTTCCTTTCTCTAGTTAATTTCTTAAAATCAATTAACCATTGTATATGACTCACTCTTTACCACTTGTAATTTTAGTTGTCATATTCTGGCACCATTCATACCATATTTAATTTCCTCTATGTTCTTATTGGTACAATTTCTGGATGTAGAAGAACTGGAAGATCCTTTCTTAAATCAAAGAAAGATGAGCTTGGAAATATGCAAGATCAGGCGATTATAATGGGCGATGATTCTTTTAATGGAGGCATAACAGAGGTTTTGAAAAGGTATGTCTCAGTACTTAATATTTTTTTTTTTGGTAATAAACAATGATATGGTCTAATGGCAATGAGTTTCATTTTTGCTAATATGGTCTAATAGCACACTTTCACCACGTAGTGGGAAAAGATATCTTGTTGCAATAGCACACTTTTGCTAGTTTGATTATTTTAGGATAACACAGTTTATTAATATTATTGGGTGTTTAGCCTATTTGTTGAACTATAAATTGTAGTTACATTTATTCAGATGTAAATAAGAAACAAGGGGTGCTTCTCCTAAACTATTGGCTTTATAGAAACTAGAGGAAAAAATACATCTCTTGGCTCTATACATTAGTTAATAGAATTGATATTCTGTGCAGAATAGTCTCTATAGTCTATACTAGTGATTGGAGAGTGTACTTGTAGGAATAAAATTGATATTTATAGACAAGAACAGGAATTAAGTTGTTCTTGCTGAAGTTACGCTCCATCTTAACCTTTTATTTTTTGTTATAGGTTATAAAAAGTAATTCATCTGTAGCTGTTAGTCTATGAGAAAATAAAAGTTTGAGATGAAGAGTAATTATGAGAGAATAACTTGATCCTCTATAATGAAAGTTACAGACCAAAAATAGATTAGATAGATGTGTACAGCAAAGCCTCCAATTGACTTGAATTTGTATTGGCAGTGAAAATCGTGTTGATTTCATGGATTCCTCCCAAGTAGAATATCAGCAAATGGACGACTTAGTAGATTCAGAGGATGAAGTGAATGTCAGTGCATTTCCTGATAATGCCAGATCCAGAAGGAAGCTGAGAATGGTGATTGATCCTGAGGACGATGAGTGAAGGGGAAAGCATGATTAGGGTCCAGGTTTCTATATTTTTGCAAATATTTTGTACTCAACCGATATTATTTTAAAGCTTGGACCCTTCTCTATGCTCCTTCAGGCTGTCAGTTGCTCAAACAGAAGACCATCACCTTTGAATATAGAAGTATGTAAACTCATTGGTGGGAAATATGATAATGGAACTAGTCGTCATTAAACCAAAATGTATAAAATGATTATGTAATTAGCCTTTCCTTATATTGAACTACCCTTTCGTAGAAAGGCTTTCTACAAATGGCATTATCCTGTTAAAAATATTTGATAATTATGTTATTTTTACAATATTTTCAAATTTATTCTAATACATATGTAAAAATCTTAAAAATATGATAAAAAGTTGAAAATTATTATAGTAATGTTTAGTATTCAAATTTTTATTGGGTCTGCATTAGCTTGGATAACGTGATGAAATCCAATCAGATTAAATTGAGAATTTTTTTTTATTGGACTATATTTGATTAAATTTAATCACACCTAATTTTTTACTCAAACCACTTCATTCAATTAAATCAATTAAATAATATTAATATTATTAATAATAGAAATATAATTATTATATTAAATATGTTTTTAAAATATTAAATTATATAAATATTAAATAATATAGTATATTTTTTTAAAATTAATCTATTTAAATATAATTTGGATTGGATTAAGTGTTTAAGTCCAATTTAATTTATTATTATTATTATTTTTTATTTAGTTGAATGATGATGGATTATGTATATCCTTTACTCTTTGTACATCGGAATTCAAGATTTGAAATAAACTGTTAAATGGAGTTCCTTGAGATACCACTCCACTTCTGCACCAAACGATAAAATAATTGCTAACAGAATCAAGTTGTTAGATGAATGAAATTGTTATATAGTCATCTCATGTTTGAACAAATACGTTTGGTCGAGGTGGAGATAAGTTTAAGCATGGAGGTCCATTTTGCTTTTTAATCATCTTAAAAATATTAATAAGATGTGATTTAGATCTTTTCCTCATCACGATTGACAGAAAATATAATTCTTAATGAACCTTCATTATTGAAAGGCAGTTGGTGGAGTCTTCGATATATAACGCGTCTTTATCAAAAGAGAAAATCCAAAGTTTAGCAAAAGTTAAAGTGAGCGTGACCTCACATGAAAGGCAGTTGTCTTTTTTTGTTTTTGGGGATTCAAGCTCAAAATAAATTCCAACTGGTTTTCGTTTTCCTGCTGTTCACCAATCTATTGGGGGTTACTTTTTTGGTAGTGGGATGAAAAGGACAAAGAAAACAAAACTAAACTAAAATTCCTCAAAGGCTACCCCTACAATAATGTGGCTTCTCTAAATTCTTCAAGCAACCATCTTTTGATATCCCCAGTTTTGTCAAATAATCGACATTTTGTGTGGTCGAGACATATTGGTCACACTATATAGCATGCTTTTCTTCATTCCCTTGGTTCAATTCTCCATCCTACATTTTAAGTTGCTGTGGAAGCCCACAAAAAGTAGGATTGATTTTTCTCTCACTCTTCTAAACTTGTAAAACTTTTTATCATTCGTCCACCCAACGACACAGACAGAACTAAGAAATAGATATCATAAACATGCACCACTGAAAATTTCAACAAACTTGCATCCAAATGTCGCTAACATATTGAAAGGACAAATCATATATTAGTAAATTCCGAGATGAAATAGTGGAGAGATTGGATGGTCCATCGACTCTGAATTTAAAGAATACAAATGAAATGGCGGGATATGCTTGAAATTTACCATATTTTTTCAACCCCAATAACCATCACTAATTGAGTGACATTTCTTTTAGCGTTTTTTGCACAAAATATCAGTGAAAAATAAAATAAGACTAAACTGAGAACTGATTAACTTATTACAAAATTGGAGACCAATTGATTGTTTTCAAAAAGAACTAAATATCCTACCCTATTCATGCAATTTTGTAGAGTTCCCCTCAATGTTCCCTTTCACACAACGAAGACTAGTAGATTAAATAGATATTTAATTTCCTTAATGTTTATATTTATGGAAGACTACTTCAACCACATATATATTTGTACTGGATTGAATGCCTTCCCATCATCAAAAACATCTTGTTGAGTGATCATGGACGCCTCTTCCTTCAATACTAAACTCTTTTTACTCTGCTTACTATGTTCAATCACATTCAATTCTGTCATGTGCAGTTTGAAGATTCATTGTAACGAGAAGGACATGAACACACTCCTACGCTTCAAACAAGGACTAGAAGATCCTTCAGGTGTTCTGTCCCCATGGTTCCCAAAATTAGACTGTTGTGAATGGGCTGGAGTCAAGTGTGATGATATCACAGGTAGAGTTACAGAGCTTTATCTCCCTTGTCATACAAATCGTCCTGAACTTGTTCCTTCTGAAGACAAGGAGGACAAATCACACTGTTTATCAGGTTCATTCAGCCTCACTTTGCTGGAACTTGAATTTTTGAACTACTTGAATTTGAGCAACAATGACTTCAAGTGTTTCAAATATGGTTCAAGCAGTAGCCATGAATGTGATGACTTGTCAAGAGGTAACCTTCCTCATTTGTATGGAAACTCCAACAACCTTCACTATCTTGATTTATCATATAATTATGATCTTCTTGTTCATGATCTACATTGGATTTCTCGACTGACCACGTTGCAATATCTCAACCTTGGTGGTATTTATATTCACAAGGACATTGATTGGCTTCAACCAGTAACCATGCTTCCTTCGCTTGAAGAGTTGCACTTGGCGAGTTGTCAACTTGAAAACATCTATCCACTTCTTCAATACGCTAATTTTACTTCACTTCAAGTTCTAAATCTCGCTCACAATCATTTTGTCTCTGAGTTGCCTACTTGGTTATTCAATCTTAGTTGTGACATCTCTCATATTGACCTTAGCCAAAATCAAATACGTAGCCAACTACCTCAAACAATGCCGTGTTTTAGAACTCTGAAGTCATTGGTTTTTTCTCATAATTATCTCAAAGGACCCATTCCAAATTGGTTAGGACAACTTGAACGACTACAAGAACTTGATCTTGCTCACAATTTTTTATCTGGTCCGATTCCCGTAAGTTTGGGAAATCTATCATCCTTGACTAATTTGATACTTGAGTCAAATGAGTTGAATGGAGATCTTCCACATAATCTCGGGCAACTTTACAACTTGGAGACCCTTCAAGTTGCAGTCAATTTCTTAACTGGAGTTATGTCTGAAAGAAATTTACTTTCCTTGTCAAATTTGAAGCAACTTTCCATGAGTTCACCTGACTTGGTCCTTGATTTTGATTCTGAATGGTTCCCTCCATTTCAACTTAAACGTGTTAGATTGGGATGTGTGAGAAACAAACTTCCTGCATGGCTATTTAAACAGAGTTCTCTGAAATATCTTACAATTGGAAACTCAAACACTTCATTTGAACCTCTTGACAAGTTTTGGAACTTAGCAACTCAACTTGAATTTCTCTCTTTAGAAAATAACGTTATCAATGGGGACATGTCAAATGTGTTGCTAAACTCGAAAGTTGTTTGGTTAGTGGGAAATAATTTAAGAGGTGGCTTACCTCGTATATCATCTGAAGTGGTTGTTTTACACTTACGTAATAACTCATTGTCCGGATCCATTTCTACTATCTTGTGTCAAAATATGACAAATAAAAGAAATTTAGTGCACTTGAACATGGCTTACAATAATTTATCTGGAGAACTAACAGATTGTTGGAATGATTGGGAATCCCTGGTTCTTATTAATTTAGAACACAACAACCTAATGGGTAAGATTCCTAACTCAATGGGCTCTTTGTCAAACCTTCGTTTTTTGTTTCTGGGAAGCAATAAGTTCTTTGGGGAGGTTCCTCTTTCTCTAAGAAACTGTCATAATCTTTGTATATTTGATGTTGGTCATAATAATCTTTCTGGGGTTATACCAAGCTGGTTGGGACAAAATATTAAAGGTCTTAAATTGGCATCCAATCAATTCAGCGGCAATATTCCCACAAAGATATGTCAACTCTATTCCTTAATGGTGATGGATTTTTCAAGTAACAGATTATCAGGACCTATACCCAATTGCTTGCATAACATCACAACCATGATTGCTAATTATGCTTCAACTCGCAGAGTCGGCTTCATTCTTAATTTTCCAGGTTTTTCAATAACCATTATCAGTAGCATCCGGATCCTTATAAAAGGAAACGAGTTATCATATGTTGATTTGATGAATGTGATTGATCTGTCAAACAACAACTTGTCTGGAAATGTGCCTTTAGGTATGTATATGCTCACTGGCCTACAATCTTTGAATTTGTCCCATAATCACTTAATGGGAACAATATCAGAAGGGATTGTCAACTTGAAATCGTTAGAATCCATTGATCTCTCAAGAAATAATTTCTCTGGAGAAATTCCCAGATCCATGTCTGCCTTACATTTCCTCGAGGTCTTGAATTTGTCATTCAATAATTTTATGGGCAAAATTCCATCAGGGACCCAACTTGGTTCTACAAACCTCAGCTATATTGGCAATCCTAGCCTTTGTGGACCTCCACTTACAAATATTTGCCCGGGAGAGGAAGAATTCCATCGTACAGAACCAATGGAAGAAGAAGAAGATGATGATAAATCTGAAATATATTCATGGTTTTACATGGGTCTAGGAATTGGGTTTGCTGTGGGATTCTGGGGAGTTCTGATGAGTGCCATTTTTTTCAACAGGAGATGCAATGGCGCTTACATCTATTGAATTCTAAGAAATTGCATGCATGGTATGTAAAGAATAATTTTTTTTGTATTCTCTTTCAATTGTTTTTATCCTATTTCTTTTGGGTAAATCTTTCTGCAACTTTTATATTTGGGTTTCTCTTAGCACATTTCACTCATTTATATCAATAATAGATAACTCCAAGGAATCTGCACAATACTTCTATGTTTTATTTTTTAAACATTTATTTTTTGTTCAACATTTGAAAAATTCATTTAATTGTTCAAAAAATAAACAAGTGGCAATTTCTATAACGTTTCGTCATACTTTTACATTAATTTTTTAATTAAAAAAACGTTGAAATAAAATTAGTAAATATTATTACTTTTATATCATTTTCCCTCTACATAAATTAACTTTAAAAAATTACGAAAATGATAGATTAAAAAATATTTTTAAAAACAATTCCGTGTTTTATAATATCATTTTTTTATTTTAAAAATACTGAAATATGTTTAAAATACACTTAACCTTTTTAAAAAATAAAATTATAAAATTATATTTTGAAATACAACTTCTATTAATTAAATATATATATATATATATATATATATATATATTAAAACATAATTAGCTTTAGTAAAATTTTAAATTTTTTCTATATTGATAAATTTTTATATTTTAATCAGATTCGTATGGAAATAAAAATATGAAATATTATAAAAATTGATTTTTTTTTTAAATTCTTTCACAGATATTAGTTGATTTTATCTTTAATACTTTTAAATCATTATTAGTTTAGCAATATTATTAAAACATTATCTTTTAAGGATTTATGTATATTTATTAATTAGTTAAAATAATAGGAGTTTTGATACAGTATTTAGTATAAATTAAAAATATATATTTTAATTATTAAGATAAATTGTTATTTTATTATTAAAAAAATCTTTAATTTTTACCTTTCTCATTAATTATAAACATATAAATTTATGTAAGTGTTTATATGCACACCCACATATAATGGAACTTTTAGATTGTAGTGTATTACAGGTCTTTGATGTTTATGCCTTGATTTGAAAAAAGTTTATTAATATTAAAATTTAGGATTCTTTTTTACTATGGCTCAAGGTTCATGTCTTATGTATGAGTAGAAAAGATTGATTCCTCTGCATTGCACATTCCTTAGGTATACAGAGAAGAGAGATAAAAGATGAATATGATGATGTTCCATTTTTGACATTACCTGAATGAAGCATTCAACAAAGTCTAAGAGAGCATGATCCTCACTCTTACCTTCTGTGTTTTGGAGAAGAATTCAGTGGAAATGAATTAATTAAGAAAAAAATATATTCTTTATATAAAAAAAAGATGATAAGAAATTATTAGAAATGATACTATTGATTTAATAAATTAAAAAATGTTTTAATTGATAAAATTATAAGAATATAATTTTATTTTTATATTTTAAAAATATTTTAAAATAAAATATAATTATTGCAAATTATATTAAATGAAATGTCTTAAAATAAAAGAAAATTAATTGATGAAATTATATTAAAATAAAATAGAATAGGTTGAAATTAATGTTAAATAACTTGTGGGTGATTACTTTAAATAAAATAAAATTATACTTTAAATTGAAAGACACCACATATTCCATGTATAAATAATAATGTAAAGGATCATTGTTATTACTATGGTCCAAAATTTTATTAATATTTTAAGTATTGAATCAAATTAAAGTTCTCGCCAAAAATTTCGTTTTCAAAATATGTTAACAAAATATTTCCTAATCCATTTAAAAATAAATTTCTATAATTTCTAAAAAAATTATTAATTATATTTATCTTTTTCAAAATCATCTAAAAATAAATTATAAACAATTCATCTCTTTATTTAATACTTTATGTTTTACAACTTATTATAATATTTTAAACTTAAAAAGGTATATTTGTATTTAAAAATTATAAATAAACAATAAAATTCTACAATTTAACTACCAATTCACTTTTCGTTTGTATGTTAAATAATAATATAACACAAAAATTTTGTAATATCTTTTTTATTTGTAATTTTAATATATATTATTTCAATACTTTTTATTACATATTTAGATTACAATTTGATGAAACTTTTTATTTCTATTCATTCATACATATTTAATCCTAATTTCATAAAATATTATTATATATTATATTTATACTAAATTTTTTTAATATCTTTTATGATAAATGATACATTCATAAAAAAGTTAGTATGTTATAAGTACATTTAAATTTAGTATGATTACAATATTTTAATGTTAAATTAGTATAAATGTAATAAATTAATATTATAGTATAGTTTATATTAAATTTTTTTAATATTTATTTATCATGATAATGTAAAAAAAATGTTACAGATTTAATATTGAATTTTTTTCATATGTTACAAATAAACTTATCATTTTTTATAATTGTATAAAAATTTTAATATATCAAATTACATATGAAATTTTAATTCTTGTACACTAACTAATTTTATACTTATAAATATAATCTTAAATCAATCCTAAACTTAATATAAAATGAATCCTAAACCTAATTTGAAAAATACCACCGTTAAGATATCATTAAATCAAATCAATCATCAAACATATTTAATTTTATTAAACTAAAATATATATTTTTTAATCACAAGATACATACAAAAACTTGTTTTCAATATGTTTAGTTTTACTTATGTAATCTATAAAACATAAACTCTAAATCATAAACTCTTAACCAACACAACACATATATTGATACTTGATTATTATGGGTAAAAAAATATAAAAGAATCAATTTTTGGTGTAAAATGAGAAAGGAGAATTGATTATACAAAGATGAGAATCAATTTTACTTAGTAATTATATAAGAAGATAATCAATTCTATCTAAAGATTAGAGAGAAAAGAATAGATTATGTCAAAAAAATTAGAGAGAAGAGAATCAATTATCTAACATTCGATTCTCATCGTTGTGCTATCAATCATGTGGTAAGCCAAAAACTTATTTGGTCTTTTGAGGAGTGATTCATTGGGAAGAAACAACAATAATAAAACATGAGTCCAACTCACATAAGGAATTGACACTACTTCAACAAAAAAAAACCTTAAGGTATTGAGATATGAGTCTTTCTTATTTATATATTATTCAATTTTCTTATTTTTACTCAATGTGGGACTTAGACTCATACTTTTATTTCTCAATAATTTCTCATGCATTGGTACATCCTCTCGAACTCAAAAGTGACCATTCCTTGTGTCACTGTTCATCATTACAAAACACGTTTACCTGACCCACCGTCAAGAAGACTTTCGAGAGAGAAATTTACTAAGGAGATGTTATGTGTCAATCCCTTCTGATATCACTATTAGATCTTCACACAAATCATCGACTCTGATATCACTGTTAGATCTTTTAAAGAGGAATTCATTTGGAAAAGACAACAATAATGAGACATGGACTCAACTCATACAAGGAATTGACATTATCTTCAACAAAAAAACTTAAGATATTAAATTATGTATCTTTTTTTCTTTATTATATGTTACTCAACTTTATTATTTTTATTTTTATTTAATGTAGGACTTACACTTCAATTTTTCAACAAAACTCTCATAATATATTCATTCTTACCTCACCAACACACACCTCACATTTGATTCCAACCACAAACACGGAGATTTAAAAATGCACCACATGAACCAAAGCAACCCGCCACCATCACTACCCAAAGCAGGGGAACCATTACGAGAAGCACACCAACCCAACTTCAGAAACTCGGAACTAACACTGTCTTTCAAATGGATAACATGAATCACACTCACATCCACCACAAAGCTCAACTTTTACAACATAAATACACGAATCACCACTCATTCATGCAGTTTTAATAGTGTATTCAAAACTCTATAATTACTGATCATTGTGCCTTCAGTAATCTCAGCATGTCATGCAAAGTCAAAAACAATAAAATCACTCGCCATGCATAATAAAAAAGTTGAAAGTCACAATTAAAAATTCAATGCCATTGTAGTTTAATATCATGTGAGCTAATTTTATGCTCTTTTCTCCACACTCGAGCAAAGACACCTCTCGTCTTAATTTCACAAATCCATCATCACCTTTCCCTTGATGCAAACCACACACGCATCCGCTCTTCCGTCCTTAAATACAATACATCAATCAAAACAAGCATAGACTTAAAGCACTTTTTAATAATAAAATTGTTAGTGAAAAAATCGATATAAGGATTGAAAAGCAGAGGAAAGAAAATCGAGGATCATATGATTAGTTAAAAAATTGATAAATCAAAAAGATGGTTGGAAGACACTCGATGACCAGGTAACAGTATGAACACATAAATCGAGAATTAGAATCGAGAATGAAAAAAAGAGGATTCGATGGCTATTGTTGAAGGAAATCGAGAATCAGAAGATAGAGAAAATTCGATGAAAGTAAGAAATCGGTAATAAAGTATTGAGTGTAAAGTTAAGGTTAAGGGAAATCATACTCGATATCTGGAATCGAGATCGAGGGGAACGGTTATCATGCACATGGAACATGGGAAGTGGCTTTCCAAATCGTGGCTAAGTTAGAAATCAAGGAACGGTTAAAGCGCACATGGAACGTGGAAGCGGTTTTCGAAACCGTAGGCTAAGGTAAAAATCGAGGGATGTACACATGGAACGTGGTAACAGTTTTTTAACTGCTCTTGGGAGGTTACATTAAAGGATGCCTATAAATAGAACAAAGCTTTAAGAAGAACGGGGAATTGGCAGAGAGAACAGAAACGTTAGTGAAAAGTCTACAGGAGAACGACGCATCATGAAGTTTCTAATACTCTGGATTTCCATTATCGTTGATTGTCTTTATCGCTTTCTTTACTTTCCCTGGTAATTTATGTTCATGCAATTTATGTTCATGCAATTTACTTTCATGCAATTTACGTTTATCAACTTTAAGTTTCTGCACTTTCAATTCCTTGTCATTTTACCTTTATGCAAGTTAAAATTCTGCATTTAAGTTCTTCGTCATTTACATTTTGCAATTTCAATTTATTGTCATTTACATTTCTCTGCAATTTAATATTCTGCACTGCATTTCATTTCGATACCCTTTGCTGCTTTCTTTACTTCGCACTTCTTAATAAAAAATACCAAAAATAGTACTTTCGATTGTCAATCTGCACACTAGGTTGTGTTGTTAGCGTTTTTCGATACTATGGGATTTTCGATTCTCATGCATGTTTCGATTGAAAACCGTTTGTTAGTCTAAGTAAAAAGAATCTACGTGGTTGAAATTTGGTTAGAACTCAAGTCTCCGATTTAATCGAAATCGATCAAATTTCCACCGAAACAAAAATATATCAATCTGATATGCATTTTTTTAATGATAAATCAAATCATTTTCTTGGTGTTTATTTAAATGAGAATTTTTAGATCTTATATTTATAGTTAGAATTAATTATTATAATTTAAAATTTTAGTCCTCATAATTTTATTCTTAAAATATATAAAAGGGGGAGAATATATATAAATTATGTTATCTATAAGTTTTTGGAAGAGGGTCCAGGTTCATTAGCTACTCATGTGACGAAGATATATCTAAATGAAAACATTTTACGATTAGGATTTTGTGAAGTTTTATACTTGGCCTAGTCCAAATACTTATATTTTGATTATAGTTCACAATGCTTCTTCCAAAGTCTGTAGATTGTGTTAGAACGTGGACGATTGCTAAAGTTTTTTGGTCCGCATGTGTTAGATAGCCGTTTTATGGGATAAAATTGTACCTATTGGATTTGCTCCAACGACAATTTTTTTTTTTTATCTTCTAAATATGAATTTCATATTATACAATTTCTGAATTTCTCAATTATTTCGGAAATCCCAATTTTTTTTTTGAAAAATTAAAAAATTTAATTTATTTTTTAAAAAGAATATTTAGGAATATTTTAAATTATTTTAGAAATTTCATTCTACAATAATAAATCATAATTACGGAATTTTTAAAATGAAAAATTCGAAATAGTTTAAAAAATTATTTCAGAATAGAGTGAGAGAGAGATAGAGACAGAGCCGATGATTATCCAGCGAAGAAAACGGGTGTGGCCCATCCTCATTGTAGCAATGAAAGAATGGAAAGCCACAGTGACAGAGCATATAAATGAGATAAAAAGTTCAAAATAGTAAAAGAAGAGAAATAGCAGTCGCACCACCATCTTTATTACTTACTTGGTTAGTCCCTTATCTTGAAATTTGGATTATCTCATCGAGTAACAAATAACTTTAGTCTATAGTGATGCTCTAAACAAAACATAGATAAATATAATCTCATTTGAAATTTTTACTCCATTCTGAATAAAAAGCAGTTATATATGATAGCGACAAATTTGATTATACTACACCAAATTTAGTATACCATGATGAATGAAAATATCTGTACACAAATGTGAGATATCATTCCAAAAGTATAAGTTAACAAAGATACAATTATTAGTCATTACTCTTAGGAAAAATATACAAAACTTTTCCATGTATTTAGATTTGTGAAAGTGAAATAAAACGAAATAAAGACGGAATAATTGGACACACCAATTGATAACGGAGTTCGGCCAAAATTACCTACGTTTCCGGACTACTGCAGATATTTTACTGGGAGAAAAGAAAATACACGGGTATTTACAAAACACTCTCAAAATACTCGCAACCCTTAACCCAATTACACCCAGAAGCTAGATTATTTTCTTTCTGCTTCTTGCTGGCTAACTCTTGTAATGGTTGCTTTGGAATTGGATGATTGAAATGAGTGAAGTGAAAGAGCATTTTATAGCAAAAGGAATGGTGCTTGTGCATTTAAGGCTTTCCATTTTTTTCTTGTCTTCAACCACTTGCCAACCAATCACTTGTCAACCAACTACTTGCCACCCTTTTTTTTTTACTTTTCAAACACCAACAATCTCCCACTTGAGGACTGATTTCAATTTGTCCTCACACCTTGATTAATGCAGTAGTCTTCTCTGGTCTGCTACTCTTGCAAGCCAACTAAAGTTGAGCACAACTTCAGTTTGTCAATGGTCACCACCTTCGTTAGCATATCTGCTGGATTCTTGCTTCGTACAATCTTCTTCAATGTTAACACCTCATCCTCAAGTAGAGATCTGATGAAATGATAACGAATATCAATGTGCTTGGTTCTGGAGTGAAATGCTGAATTCTTTGCCAGATGTATTGCACTCTGACTATCACTATGCAAAACAGTCCCTTCTTGAGCGAATCCCAGCTCTGCTAACAGTCCTTGAAGCCATATCAATTCTTTATCGGCTTCGTCATCGCTACATACTCGACCTCCGTAAGTGGATAAAGCAACAATTTTTTGTATCCGCGACATCCAACTAACAGCTTGTAGTACCAACCGTGAAAACATAATCGGTGGTGCTTCTTCGGTGATCAACTTCACCTTCAAAGTCTGCATTTACGTAGCCCTGTAATCTTAGATTTCCTTTTCCAAAAGATAGACATTTTTTTGTTGTTCCTCGTAGATATCTTAGAATCCACTTGACGGCTTCCCAGTGAGCCTTTCCTGGATTTGCCATAAACCTGCTCACAACTCCCACTACATGGCCAATGTCTGGCCTTGTACAGACCATTGCGTACATCAAACTTCCAATGGCTGAAACATACGGAACCTTAGCCATAATTTCTTCTTCTTCCTTTGTTTGAGGAGACTGATCCTTGGATAGACGAAAATGACTAGCCAAAGGTGTACTGACTGGTTTGACCTTGTCCATGTTAAATCTTTGCAAAACACAGTTGATGTACTCCTCTTGAGATAACTGCAAAACTCCTTTTTGCTTATCTCTCGTGATTTGCATTCCAAGAATCTTCTTTGTTGGTCCTAAGTCTTTCATGTCAAATTCCTTTGACAACTGCATCTTTAAATTTCTGATATCCCTCATATTTGAACCTGCTATTAACATGTCATCAACATAAAGTAACAATATGATATAGCTGGACTTATACCTCTTGAAGAAACAACAGTGATCGGCATTGCACTTCTGGAAACCTTCCTTGTGCATGAAGCTTTCAAACTTCTTGTACCACTGTCTTGGAGCTTGTTTCAGACCGTACAAGCTCTTCTTCAATTTGCACACCATATCCTTCTTTCCTTCTGAAAATCCTTCAGGTTGGTGCATGTAGATCTCCTCATCTAAGTCTCCATGGAGAAATGCAGTCTTCACATCTAATTGCTCTAGGTAGAGCTCTTCACTAGCCACAATACTTAACACTGTTCTGATAGTATTGAGCTTTACTATTGGAGCAAAGATTTCAGTGTAGTCAACTCCTTCTTTCTGCTGAAATCCTTTGACAACTAGTCGGGCTTTGTATCTCTTGGAACCGTCATGGTCTTCCTTCACTCGATACACCCATTTGTTGTGAAGTGCTTTCTTCCCCATGGGTAACTTGACTAGTTCCCATGTCTGATTGGAGATCAGAGACTTCATCTCTTCTTTCATGGCAAGCTCCCACTTGCTAGCATCTGTGGTTTGACAAGCTTCTATATAATCTTCGGGCTCCCCTCCATCAGTCAGCAACATGTAGTCCACGTATCTCCTGTTTGGCACATGAGGTCTAAAGGACCTTCTCAATATAGGAGTTGGAGTAAGAGGTTCTGGTTGCACATCACCTTCTTCAATTGATTCCTCTGATTGAGGACTCCTCACTATAAGATTTTCTAGGACATCTTCCACTTCTGCAAAAATTGGTCCACTCGATTCTAAATTGCTAATACATGTTTTATGCATGTCCTTGTACAATACTCTTTCATTGAAGATTACATCTCTGCTGCAGATCATCTTTTTGTTTTCATCATCCCATATGCGGTAGCCATACTCATCTTCACCATAACCAAGGAAAGTGCACTTCTTTGATTTTGGGTCAAGTTTGTTTCTACCTTGATCACTGATATAGACATATGCTACACAGCCGAAAACTCTAAGATGTGAGAGTTTTACCTCTTTTCCGCTCCATACCTCTTCTGGTATTCTGTGCTCCAATGGTACCGATGGACTTCGGTGTATCAAGTAAGCTGTTGTGTTGACTGCTTCTGCCCAGAACTGCTTTGGTAAGCCTGATTGTACACGCAAGCTTCTGGCTCTTTCAATCAATGTTCGATTCATATGCTCAGCTACACCATTGTGTTGAGGCGTACCAGGCACGATCCTCTCCATTTTGATTCCGTGCTCATAGCAAAACTTCTTGAATCTGGTGTCTACATATTCACCACCATTGTCGGATCTGAGCTTCTTAATCTTCAATCCTGTTTCATTTTCTACCATAGCTTTCCAAATCTTGAAAGCTTCAAATACTTCTGACTTGTGTTTCAGAAAGTAAACTCATACCTTTCTAGAGTGATCATTGATAAACGTCACAAAGTATTGCTTCCCACCAACGGATGGGACAGCCGTTGGACCCCAAACATCAGAGTGGACAAGCTCAAGTCTTTCTTTCTTTGGAGTTCTTCTATTTGTCTGAAAGCTAACTCTCTTCTACTTTCCAAGTATGCAGTCTTCACACATGTCAATTTCTACTGACTGAAGACCTGGTAGTTTTCCTTTTGAGTGCATGATCTTCATCCCTTTCTCACTCATATGCCCAAGTCTTTGGTGCCATAGATTGGGATTTTCATTTGCCGCAACCGCAATCAAATGGCATGCTCATGCAGTCTTGTAAAGAGTACCACTCTTTTTGCCTCGAGCAATTGTCATCGCACCCTGTGAGATCTTCCAATCATCACCGTGGAAGATTTTTGTGTAACCTTTACTGGCTAACTGACTCACTGAGATTAAGTTCTTCGTTAGGTCAGGAATATGTCTGACATTTTTTCAATTCCCATACAGACCCGTTCAACTTAATCTTTATTGTACCTTTACCTACAATCTCACACGATTGTTCATTACCAAGGTAAACTTTACCAAGATTTCCGGGAACATAATTCTCGAACAGTTGCTTTTGTGAGGTAGTAAGGAAAGATGCTCCAGAGTCTAACACCCAAGACTCCTCCTTGCTTTCTGAAGAGCATATCAACACATCATCTTTCCCTGAGGTAGAGGCAACGTTTGCCTCATCATTCGCTTCTTGATTCTTTCGTGCATTCTTGCACTGATTTTTGTAATGTCCGGTCTTCCCACAATTCCAACACTCGATTTGCTTCGAGTTTTTGGAACTACGATGATTTCTGAACTTGGATCGTTTGCCCTTTGATTTTCTGCGTCCGCTTTCTTTGGTTGAACTTCTTCCTCTTGACTTTGTATGCAATACTGAAGAGGTTGATGATTCACCCAACTCCCTCCGCCGAATCTCTTCACTGAGAACCAAATTACGAATATCATCAAATTTTAACTTATTGCTTCCCGATGAGCTACTCACAGCTGTGACAGTAACATTCTAACTTTCTGGTAGAGAAGACAAAAGTATCAAAGCTCGTACTGTTGGCAAAATTTAGGTCATGTATATATATGATACATAATTTAAATGTGTTAGGGTCATTATTTATTAAGCCAAATAATAAAGTGATCTGACTAAATTAAAGTTTTTGCTAAAAGCATATGTCATGAAAATAAAATTGTGTAGAGACCATTGAGCAATTTCTAATTTGATGAGGGGTCAAATTGGAAATACTAAAACTTAAGTAATTAACCTAATTCTGGTTATCTAAAGGGTCATGGTCCCCTTCTGGGAGCACACACATAGAACATAAGTATCAGTCCCGTTCCTTTCTTTCTATCCCCATCAAGAGAGAAAATCAAGAGGGAAATACAGGTGCTCTTCAGGTGGAAGACCATAAGATCAATATAATGCTCTACAAAGACATCATCATTATGGCTAATTTAGGTATGTTTTCGCATTCAGTTTACAGCATGTTTATCAGTATGGGATTACGTTTATGTTTGATCGTTAGAATCAAAATCAGGATTATTATTATTATTATTATTATTGATTTTCCAACAATTGGTATCAGAGTCGCCCATATTTGATTCATGTCTGTTTAATTTATAGAACCCTAATTATGAAAATTAGGATTAATTTTGTTTTAAAAAATTCAAATTACCCAATTTTATGA